ACGGGGGTGTCACGGGCGTGGCTGCCGCGCCCGAGCCCCCTAAGGCTTGTTTCCTTGAGGGGCCGGGTAGCGTCTCCTGGTCAGCCCGCCCTGGGCTGCGTTTCTCTCGCCCCGAGTCCCTGCTGGGCGAAGCAGATGCCTTCGTGGAGCCGAACGTTACCCAGGCGATGCCGTTGCCCCGGGTCCTGCTTGCCAGTTGTCCTGGCATCTTCCAGGCCAGCCTGGGGCCGCGAACCGGCGACATCCTGCCGGGGCGGGGCTGTGTAAGCAGTATCGTCAGGGTAGCGCTGGGAGCTCAGCCTAGTCTCTGTCGTCTTACATGCTTCACTCGTGGCTCCTCCCCCCCAGTCGCCCCTGGGCTTGTCCTCATGGAGGGAGAGTGTCCAACGAAATCTTTAACCGTATTGCCTAGCAATTTTGAGGGTGCTAACTGGCTACAGCTGCTGACACTTTTACTGCGCTGTTGAATGGACCTGCTTTGATCAGGATCAGACAGCGATGTGGTGGTAGCACAGTGGAACAGGCTAAGCTAATGTCTGCTAGTACTCGTGGGTATTTGGCTATGCTAAAGTGATGGGAGGCCTCCCTCAAATCTTCACTGCTGATACAGCCCAACAGAGGTGCATCCTAGAGAAGTATTTTGTATGTTACATAAATGTTAACTAATGCTTGTATTGCACTTTAGATTATTAAATAACCTATATCACTGGTAATAAAGTGAATACTGTGAGTACACTTAAATTCATTGTGGTTCTAGAGTTTGCTAGTTTCAACAATACTGCCTATAATTAAGCAGCTTCAGAGGGTAGCAGAGTTAGTGTTTAAAGTGCAACCAGACTATATTTTGTTTAAGTTTATCTTGTACAGACTAACAACATGAAGATGGTAGTGTGAGCTTGTGTGGGCATAGCCCACTTCTTCAGATGACCAGAGTATTGATTGTCCAGCTTGGCTTTCCGCTGGATAATTTAATATCCACTGCCTCTTCGTGTCTCCTCCCTCTCTATTTATTTTAGTTCTGAACATCCAACACTCTGGTCATCTGAAGAAGTGGCTTGTGCCCATGAAAGCTCATGATTCCATCTTCATATTTTGTTAGTCTTTAAAGTGCTACCAGACTGTTGTGTGTTAAGTTTAAGCAGAACCACTTAAGAGACTGTTGAGACCTCTAGAGTAAGTCTTGCTGTCTTTAAGTAAAAAGAACAGTGCTGGAACCTGGAGTCTCTAAAACTGGAATGAATTTCTTAAATATGTCTAAACTTTGAGATGTGACTATCATGGGCTTCAACTCATTGTATTCTCCTCCTTTTTTGTACTAATCTTTTTTCTTGTCCACAAGTAAGTAAAACCAGTAAACTAGAAATTATATGATCAGAAACTTTCTCTTGTATTCACAGCTTAAAAATCAGTACACAACTGTTGGATTCTTGCACCCCAAGTATGCTGGCTTCTGCCTGCTAACTCCCCTGTACTCCTGCCTCTGATACAGAGGCAGCAGCACAGGGTGGCAGGCTGGAGCTGCCTGCCTGCCCTCACCCCCATGTGTAACTGCTGAAAATGTCAGTGGTTACATGATTACATAATTAAACTAATTTTAAAATCCCTAAGAAGAACAGCTCTTCAGAGTCAAAATTTGTATGAAATATTTTTAGTGAATTAGAACTGTTTTCTATTCATTTTAATGTAGTAACTTTGATCTGTCTGTTTTCACTTGCAATCACTTGATTCCTACTGTTTGTATTTAGTAAACAAGTGTTTTCATTATCAGGCCCAATGTAAATAATTGGT